AGCAAAGTTTCAGACTGGTTAGTAGCCAATAAACTGACCTTAAATGTTGATAAATCAAACTTCCTCATAATCTCTCCCTCGATAAAAAATAAAACAAATGAAATAAAATTAGGAATTAATAACAAATCAATTGCTCAAAAGGATTGTATAAAATACCTTGGTGTACTCTTAGATAAGGACATTAGCTGGAAACAACACATTCAACAGGTAAATCTAAAAATTTCTAAAGGCATTGGAATACTAGCTAAGGCTAGGCATTATGTTCCTCCACAAATCTTAAGGAACTTATACTTTTCTCTTATCGAGCCTCACGTCAACTATGCTTTAATTAACTGGGGGAGTGCAAATCTGTCCTCCCTAAAACCTATGGGCCGAAATCTAAACAAAGCTCTACGAATAATGAACTTTGCTAAAAACACAGCAAGCTCCAAACCAATTTACCATAAATTTGATATATTAAACCTCAATGATAGTTACACCCTGCAATGTGCAAAGTTTATGTATGACGTAAACACAGGCACGCAAATGGATTTTCTTTGTCAGCTCTTCCAAAAAACAACATCAAGACATAGCTATGATACACGGCAAGCTGCAAAACAAAATTTTGCTATCCCCAAAGCAAGAACTAACCTTAAAAAGAGATTCATTACGTTCAATGGAGTTAAAATCTGGAACGAAATCCCACTTAATATTCGCTCTAAACCAGTCAAAAGACTCTTCCAAAAACATCTCCGAAATTGGCTTCTGCAAAAATATTTATAAAACCCAAATGCACTTACTTTAAACCAACCCGAATATCTCATTCTTCGATTTCTAAACTGAAAACGAACAGAACTCTCGTGTCACCCCCCCCCCCCTTCGTTTATATCCTTGTTCTCTCCTCTTGCCCCTTTGTATTTTGTTCTTTTTTTCTTAATATCTGTATCTTAATCTTAATATGTTTCTATTCTTCTTCTGTTATATGTTAAATTCAAATCAAAATTATTAGTAATTAGTTTCTACTTGTAATTAACTTTTACTTGTTCCATTGTTACTGTTATACTGCATGATTAACTATTACCAACTAGGGCGCTAGGCTCGAAAACCGTTTCGGTTCCTCCCAGCGTCCTAGGCAACTTATTTGTTATTAGCTAAAATAGATGTCATATATTCTGTATTAACTACTATAATAATTAATTTAAGTACCCTGTAATTAGTTGCTGAATGCCAATGAATTTGAATTTGAATTTGAATTTATTATGTGTGGACCTTTCCATTCTTTCTTTAGCTTGCCTCCTTTGCCCGTTGTTCTCCTTGAATCGTAAAGGAGAACTCTTTTCCCAAGTGCTTTTTACCATTATATGATCGTAGGTCTTCAATTTTAGCAGTAAACTTGACAACCAGATCCTCTGTTGGTATCTTTAGTTCCATCTGAAAACAAAACAACTTCAACTTGCTTTTATTAAGCCTCTACGACATACAACGATGCATTCAGCAGAGAATGAAAAAAATTATTCACAAAGAGAGGGCCAAAGACAATAAAAAATCAATTCTTTTTGTGCTATTTTCAGAGCTCTCAGAAGGAAGGAAATTTTCTTCGAAGTAGAAATCTGAGCTCTTTGAAGAAGAAGAAGAAGACAAATAAAATTTGAAGAAAAGTTATTGAAATCGTTTGAAAAGCAAAGAAATTAGTAATACTTTTTGGAAAAGAGTTGAAATGCTCTTAATATTAAAGGACAAGTGACACGCTTTTGGCGCCAATTTTTTTATTTCTTTTAACTTAAAGTAAAATGCTGTATGAGAGTGTTGTTGAAATATTTTTCCTTTCTGATCTCATTTTCCCACTTAAAAACCCATTTGAAATTATGGCGGGAAATTAATCACGTGACACCGTGACGTAGATTGTGATAATTCGTTATTGCTGCTACTGGTATAGAGTGCAATATTAACGTTTACAACACGCTTGTAAACGAATACAGTTCGTCTGGACCTGTCGCGTCGTGTTTTGTAAACTCTCTATCAATTACAGGAAAATTCTGAGTTATCACAATGTACGTCATAGGGTCACGTGATAAAAAGCAAAATCGCGCACCCTGCGCCCCCTGATTAGAATTTTTTGTTCCAAACCAGGAAAAACTTACTTCTAAAAGATGATCTATAAGTTAATGAAAAGAAAAGATAGGGTGAAAAGTGTGTCACTTGTCCTTTAATAGCCTATTCATTTTTGTTAAAAAAATCGTCAATAATAAACAAAGGAAATTTTCTGTAAAGATATGATGGCTATAAAAGCATACATCTTACCCCAGCTACATCTTTATCGTCTTCGTTGATATCAATGGGTCTTCTTGCTTCTCGGCCGTACATCATTTTGAAAGGTGTCATTTTGAAAGGTGTCATCAATTCATAGGCTGAGAAGGTTTTCAAGTTAAGTTTCTTAAAAAGGATATCAGAAATCTGCAACAAAAGCTACGGCTCTGAAAAAGACTTTTCTCTGACCATAAATAAAAAAGACATTTAAATCACATTTCCCTTATACCATAGTTGATAAAAGGAATGGTTTGGAAACTGACTTCTTAAACAATGGGGCCTTTGTTTTATGTTGAAAATCGAGAGAGTTTGGTCACGAGACCAAAGAACGTCCAAGGTGAAATCGTGAAACAATGGCGGAAGCTGACTTGGATGTTCAATTTGTAGGAGACGATGAGGTTTTTGCTTTTATATGTGAGCTTGATGCTATAATTGAAGTACAGGAAGATTTTGATACGGCAGGCGACAAGGTACTGTAAAGTCTGTGACTATTTTACCTCAATTTTTCGAAGTTTTAGGCCCAATGTGTATCTCTCGCCCGTTCGGTTTTAGTTCTTCATATTTTCCTTACCTTGTCGCTTTTAAAAATCATATTTATTTCAATTTTATTCATTATTTTGAATTTTCAGATTCTGGAAATGAATATTGAAAAAGAAAAGTGTCAGTCTTGTGATAAAACATTTAAGACAGTCCGCGGTTTGCTGCGACACAAGGCCTCCAAACAGGAGAAGTTATCCCTCCCACAGTCCAGGCTAAAATCTATTATGGAAGTAGCCTGTCAAGAAATTGCAGCCGATCGCTGTTATGGAACAGAAGTCAATACTTCGTTTGAGCTTTATTGTAAAGAGAGATATCCTCTTCAAGATGGTTTTATTTCTGAGTCATCTTGTAATATCATAAAGAAAGTTCTGTCAAAGCTGGTTGATAAAAAGAGCAAAGAACTCTATTATGCAGAATATTACAGCGAATTAGTAAACAAGAGTAAAGAATTATTCCCACTTTTAAAAGAACATGAGGCCCCCTTGCTTGCAATTATTGTTTGTGAGAGGTTAATGACAGAGTTTCAATCTGTTTCAAAGCAACCTGCACCATCTGTGCCACAAATAAATGACAGAGATAAACAGTGCATACAATACATTGGTGGGTATGTGTTGAGAAAACTATACTACAGCATAAAAACAGATTCTCCACAAAACGAAATCATGAAGTCCATCATCATATGTTTCAAAGACGATAATCTCGTTGATCAACTTTTGATATCAGCAGTGAATCGTGGAGGTCTGTGGGGCATTAAAAGGCCTGTATCCAATTTGTTTCTTGCTGCAGAGCGCAAATTTAGAGAAGCAACTGTTGGAGCGAATATAACATTGATAGCAATTAGTGCAATAACCAATAAGTTATTAGATGACTTAAATGTGAGAGAACTTTTTTCAAGTATTCTTGAAGACTGCCCTGCTTATGAACCTAAAGATGATGAACTAGCCAAAAACATTTTACAGGAAATGTTTACCTTGTTTTTGAGAGTAAGGTCATTTTCATATGCAAAGGACATCATAAACAGACAAAAACTCAAAACAACAAGTGGGAAAAAAAAGAGCTTAAGAAAAGAACTGAAGCAAACTAACACTGATCATACTAAATCTAAGAAGAAATGAAGTGTTCCTTGTATACATACTCTTTTTACAAAATTATAGTTATAGTTTCAAACAAAATTGTTAATGTTCTTTTAAAAGGTAATACTGTGTAATTTTTGCTAGTTTTTTAAGTCTTCAAATTGGTAGGTTAAAAGATTTGCAAATTTGTGGTTCCCTAGTAAGTTTGAGAAATTCAAACTTTTTTGCAATGCAACCTATCATCCCAATGCCTAAAAATCTAATGTCGACTTCAGAATGGGGTTTTTGGGGGTCCCAGTTGAATTAATCAGTCATCATTAAGCTTGTAAAGGTTCATTTAATTTAAGAGCTTTCAGAGGGTATCTTAAAAAAGGATTCAAAGAACTGTTAGACAGGGTGGCTTATTCACAAAGTAACATGAAAGATATCTTTACCCTAGAAGGATAGCTTTACCCTACATTTTGCCAGTCAAAATACACAAATTTAAACCAATGTTAACTAAAAAAAGTAAACTGTTATTTCTTCTCATTGTCTTTAGTCTTTCCCTTCTTAAGTTTTGAATCATTTATTTCATACTATGATTTTTTCTTTTTTAACCCATAGTATTTCCCGCTAGTATTTCCTGTAACTGTTGAAACAGCCATACCAACACGGATATTATTTGCATTGTATCCAAATTGCTGCATATTTGGGTTTTCACTACTTCTCCCAATGGCTCTTTGACAGGAAAAATACTCTTCACAATCATCTTGGCTAAATCTCTCCGTTAAAACATAAGGCATCCCACTTCTCAAAAGCTGCTGCACACATTCTACAGCAGAATAGACAGTTATTTGAAGTCCCTCATAGGTCTGCTTTGAAATAAACATCTTTTCTTTGGCAGCATCAGAAAATTCACCTTGGCGAGTTGAAATGGTCTCTTTCCATTGCTTAAGGTAGCCTAGGAATTCTTCTTTGAGCCATTTGAAACGTTCATCATCGATTGAAACATAGGGTTTTAGAAAGTTTTTTCTCTTTCTTTCATGCTCGTGACAACTTCTTACATTTAGACAATCAATGTTGTCAAAATTTATCAATGTTGTCACAAAAGTCAGCTGTTGCACTTGTATCTCCAGAGTAAAATGATCTTAATACGGCAGCTACACTTGAACTCAACACCTGAGCTGCTAAACGCACCTTCATCTTTCAATAACTGTTCAATTTGATGTGATCAGTGGTTAGCCTTGGTAGAAGCTTCAGGCCTCCATCTAGGTCAGCTTGAAATGCACCAGTGATATGCCTCCAGATTAGGTATTTGCCATTGTTCCACATGTAGCGACTACTTTGACCTGAACCAGAGTTAAACAAGCAGTTTCGAGGTGTTTTGACCAAGTGGCATGGATCACTGAAGAAAAAGATGAATCTTCTGTGGTCAAAAACGTTTATAGTACGATAAACCACTTCACTATCTGTGCAGTAATCAAGGCCTTTGTGTAACTTGAAGAACTTACGATTGGGTGTTGCTCCATCACATATTGTGGCAATGACACATAATTTGACGTTTAACTCTAAAATGGCAATGCATCTCCAAAACAGAGGAAGAACTTGGCTACTTGTGATACCATCTGTTGCAAAATAGGCTAATGGGAACTTCAGGTCAGATGAAATTCCTCTGACAAAAAATAAAAGTGCATGCGTTGCAAGGGTCTTCTCTTTCTGGAGGCATGCTTCATTTATTTCACCATCTCCTAAGTCTGTGAAGCCAATTAGTTCACCTGTATATTTATCAAATACCAAGCCTTCCGATATCTTCATTTCATCAAATGAAACACAAACAAATTTCTGGTGACCTTTAAAGCTTTCAACAGCCTCCCTAAGTTCATTGATGACACCTGAATTGAATCCAACCTGAGGTCGAATAGCATTACGATAGTCTCTTAAAGTTCTTCGACTTGGTAGACAGAGAATCCCTGAATTTCTCAGCTCATCATAAGCGGAACCTGATTTTGCAGCAACTGATAGACAAAATCGAATAATCATTGGATGAAACCGTCTAAACCCTTGCTTAAAATACTTGACTTGTTCCTGCCAAAATAATGTCATATAGGGTGAGGCACTCTCAAGATTTTCTGACATTATCTTATTGATATCGGTGGTCAACTCATCATCTAGCTGAACTGATGATGACTGAATTTCTTTATCCATCTCTCTCAATTTTTCCTCCAAAAGACCACATTTCATTCTTTCACTAAACACTGTGGCCTTTAGTCTTGAATGACTTGTTGCTGTTAAAGGTGCTCTACTCTTTACAGCTGTCTCTTGCAGTGATGTCTTTACCTTGTAAGCTTGTATGGCCCTTCCTTCAAATTTCTTGCAATCATTGCAGCTTTCACTTGTGCCTGGTTCCAGGAGGACATAGCAAGTAGGTGCCCTGTAGTACTGGGTATACTGAAAAGGAATATCATTAGTTACATCTAAGATTGATGGAACTACATGGAGAGAAGCACTTGTCTTTGCATCTGCATTTGTCACACCAGTGCATATCACAGCACCTGATATCTTTGAAAGAAGTTTTGACAACTTCAAATACTTCAATGATCTTTGTGCATCTTGATATCTATGACTGCCTTCTGGTAATTTCCAATTGAAAACTGCAATTGTAAATCTCAAATTGTTCTCAATGATCAAGCAGTACTTTGGCAAGGCATTAGTTTGATCATTGAAATTAATTTGAATCAAATTTTCACCATATGTAACAGACCATCCTTCCAAATTGATTCTTTGAAGTGCATTCTGCAAGCTTGTGAAGTCCTTATAAGCACATTGAGAATCTTCAGTTATTCTTTCTTTTACAATATCTATGTGTCTCCGGGCAACAATCTCTCTAGAAGGATGACTCTTTATTGGTAAATTCCTTTTTGGTAGGGCTCCTGGACGTAGTACTTTCCTTCCTTGTTCTAGGAACAGACAAAAACACATCAATTTGACACAATATCCACATGCAGAGCTGCAGTGGTGAGAATTCAGATTTCATTTAGGGGACACAGACCTTTAATTTTCTGATAAGAGATAAAATCTAAGGAATCCAATTACCCAAACTTCTTTGACAAGAAGGCAAATCCTTGGGGAAGGTCAAGCCATCACAAGCCTCTTGTGACATTTCACCTATGCAATGTGCATTGACTAGACTTATAAGCAGTTGGGCCTCTTGTCTTTTATTTTGAATCTATTTTTTGAAGAATGCGTTTACCATTAACTATTACAACATAGTCAAATATTATCATAAATACAGTCCGTGGAAGCTTTCAACCAACGAGTTTTTCTAATGCTATCGATGTATGCAAAGATTGAAATTTCTCCCAAAAATTTAGCTACACGTTGTATTTGCTTTTATGATTTGTGAGTTCTAGTAAAAATCAAAAGTTGAATTCAAACTGTCGTGATTTCCAAAATATTTCTGATCTGGTTTTGCAATATGGTTTCGGATATCTTCCGTTTTGGAAATACTAGAAATAAATTTTAGAATCATTCTTTTAGCCTTTTCTTGTACAATAATACAGATAAAACAAAGCTATAAAAACTATAAACTTACCTGTTATTTCAATGTCTTCAGGCTCATAATGATTTTCACAAACATATATTTGTCCTCTCTCGATTTGTTGGGAAAAATGAGCATCCACCTGCCGATACTTTGTGATTATGTTGAGGATATCTCTTTTCCAGTCTAAATAAAATTTACCAGAACGCGCGGTGATCTTGAAGATTGAAATATTATCGTACTTTCCAGATTTATTTGCTCGATTAGTATGACATCCGTTAAAAACACAGTTTACCATAATGATTTTGTTCTGTATCGGCCGTCCGCCATGCTAGAACAGTGCCTTGGATGTTGTTTGGTCATGTGATCAAAGAAATTCAGAACAATAACAAATTGCGCAATCTCCCTTGTTTCCAAACCATTCCTTTTATCAACTATGCTTATACCGAGGTTACAAAGCCAGTTAAGGGGCAGTTTTAAGGTTATCTGGTTATCCAGTTACCGCAGGGTCTTGAGTTATTTTTTACAATCAATCAAACTTAAATATCTTTACATAAAAAACTATTAAATACCCAAGTATAAATCGTAATAAGACAATACCTGTTTAAAGTCTGATTCGTTCTTTCATCCAGACCATTCGTTTGCAGATGATATGCTGCTGTTTGGGTGCACCATGGTGACAGAACAACTTTAAGGGACCATTTTGCATCTCTTTTGCATCTTTACTTTTTATGGAAAAGGCTCCAGGCCATTATGCAAAATAATCAGTGCAGGTGAAAAGGTACTGATTCCCTCTTTCTCTTTTTGGGAGCTCAGTAAGGTTAATGCCAAGCATTTGCCACAGCTTTTCCACCTAAAAGTAGATGATAGCTAGAATAAGTTTATTGAAGCAAACTTACTAAACTAACAACATAACATCGCAACAATATAATATTGATCAACGGATTCCAACGTTGCTTATATACAACCTGCACAGGTCATAAGGACAATTTAATTCAGATACAGGACCAATAGGGCGATTCGGCAACGCGTAGCAACTGCGCCTAGCAACAGGCGTGGGGTGAATACAAACAGGTCAATCGGCTAGGCCGCCTAGTGTTTGCTGTGTTTATGTTCGCAAAGTTGATTGTCACTTTGGAACATTTAAATAAATCGAAAATGCCGAAAAGTTGCATTGCAGTTGGCTGCTCAAACCACAATATGATGGATAAAAAGGATATTTCTTTCCATCGATTTCCTGATCGAGAAAATAATGTGGACAAATGGCAACGATGGGTGCAAGCAATGAAACGCGTAAACAAAGATGGGACTCCATGGGCTCCAGGTGGCAAATACGCGTACATTTGTTCTGCCCATTTTTTAGAGGGTATGTATGGTTTTATTCTATTGCAGTTTATCTCAATATTAATTAAATCAAAACCAATTTGCAACTTGTTGGCGTTCTTGTTTTGATTAGGCCAATTCTTCGCTTGTTATACCGAAATTTCGTACGAAAAGTCTAGTTTATTATATCTATCAAATAGCAGTCTTGTTTCCTATCAAGTACACCTCCGTCCTGACTGATGTTTGTGCCTAATTTAGGGAAACCATCAAAGGATCCAACTCATCCCGACTATGAACCTTCTGTCTTTAAGCACAAGGCTCTAGACGGCAACATTGCTACCAAAAAGTTAGATAGGTTTGAGCGAGTCAGAAAACAGGGTATGGCTAAAATTGAATGTAGTATCAAGACAAAGATTTTGGTGACTGAAGAAGATCAAGGAATGACATCTGAACATCCAGAAAGTTCTGAAGCTGGCCCAAGCACTGAAATGCCAGATGTACAGGCTCAACCACAAGCACTTCCAAATGAGTCATTAGAAGTCAATTTTCTGAGAAAGGAGAGGGAAACTCTATTGACAAAAATTACCTGCCTTGAACAACAGGTATGGTTTGTTTCTTTAAGGAAAGAATGCTCTTTTACCTTCCATTTTTCACAGGGTTAAAGACTGGTACTAAATTTCTTCATTTGTAGTTTCTTTTGAACTTCGAGTTAATTTTCAAAGCTAATTTAATAGGTTTTAAAATTCCAATTTGCCAAAGAGTTGTCCTTCAAAATTCTTTAAGAAGATTGAAGAGATTACTTGAAAATAATAGCAAAAGCCAATTCCTCTGAGCTGTCTTTTGATATACACCTCTGAAGAATGATAAAAGCCAAGTCTGATCATGATATTTCCTTTAAAATAAAACTGCAATTTAAGTTAGTTTTTATTGTAAACCTTGTTTTAGTCACTTGTTCCTTTGTTGTCACAATCTAAATCAACATTTTTCAAAAAATTTAAAGTTTTCTTCCTTTGGCAGGTGCTTCTGTCAAATTACGATCCAATGGTGATTGCAGGAAATGACAATGCTTCAACCTACCTTACTGGTCTCTCCTGGAAGGTTTTCAACTCAGTTTGCCAGCTACTTATCCCATCAATAAAACAATCAAGGAAAAACCTACCGCCTGCTAACCAGGTACTAATGGTTATGTTAAGGCTGCGGCTAAATTTGCCATTTGAGTACCTGAGCCTTCAGACAAATTTTTCAAAAAGTACATTGAACTTACTTTTTTGGCAGGTTGTACATCTAATGTACGAGAAGCTGAAATTTTTGATTTGCTGGCCTGGCAGAGATCATATTCGTGCAATAAGTCCTCCAGTCTTCAAGCAATATTTTCCAAGGCTAACCTCAATTATAGATTGCTTTGAGATATTTATAGAGAGATCATATGGACTGCGTGCAAGAGCCCAGGTATACTCAAATTATAAAAAGCATAGTACTGTTAAGTATTTGATAAGTTGTAATCCTGTGGGAGCAGTAAGCTTCTTATCAAAGGGATGGGGTGGAAGGGCTACTGACATTCAAATAGTCAAGGCATCAGGCTTCATTAGCACCAAATACCATTTGCATGGAGATGAAATCTTGGCAGATCGTGGGTTCACACTGAAGGATGAGTTTGCTGCAGTTTGTGGTGCAGAACTCATTATCCCAAGTTTCACCAAAGGTAAGAAACAACTCACACCCAAGGAAGTGGAAACTACAAGACAAATTGCAAATGTGCGTATCCACATTGAAAGAGTTATTGGTTTGATGAAAAACAAGTTTTCAGTTCTACAGGGAACTCTTCCTTTAGCCATGGTAAAGTCTCAACAAAACGAAGAAGTACCACTGGAAGAAGTACCAAATATTGACAAACTTGTTACAGTCTGCGGGGCTCTTGTTAATCTCACAACAGGGATTGTTTATAAAGATAAAAACAGCAGCATTTGAAACAATTCTAGATATTTATGTAAAGAAAATAAGTGATATGTTAACATAAAACTTAACAGTTTATTTATGCGAGTCTCTTTTTTTGCAATTCTTGCAGAACCAATTGCCCTTAGGGGGTCTCTTTATTTTAGCACATTTAAAATGGAACCATTTCCTCTTGCACAAAGAATTGTCACAACCTATCATTTGATCACTAGAGGGCTGCTGACAATAACAATATACATTATCATCTTCCTTTTCACCTTCTTCACCATCTTCTACCTTTGCATTCTCAATGCACCGTGTTATTATCTCAGGAGCTATGAACTGTCTATGCAGATCATACATCTTTTGAATGGATGATTCAAATTTATTTCTGTATGGTATTTCAATTCCATGACAGAACTTTGGGGTCCAAATAACAAAATGACAAAGGTAAACTTTGTAGACATTCATTTGCATTTGAACTTGTGGCATATATTTATGATTCTCTTTTAACATTAGTTTTTCATTCAGACAGAAACTGGGATCTTCTATGCAGTTGATTAAAGAATCAGCCTCCTTGTGCTTGTAAGGGCATTTTACTTCAACAAGAAACTTGCCATGACAGTTGCAAGTAGCAATAGCATCTGCTGATGCACCAAGTACATGGAACTCTGCATGTAACCTCAGTCCTGAAGCTTTAATATTTAAATTCACATGGTCCTTAGCAATTTTGCTTTGGTAGCATTTAATAGCAGTTTGTTCATGCTGTTTACCCCAGTCCAATGACGGCAAAGTAAGTTTTGATGAACTGATACAAATGTTTAAAATTGTTGACTTGGGAAGTTTATTGTCCCTGGCATGTAACACACTATGTGCAACAGATGCTGTTATGCGACCTGCTCTTAATTCTTTCCACATCAGTGAACTACTTTGCGATTTGGTTGACTGTTCAATGAAATCCCTCT